TAGGGAGGGAGGGAGGGAGGGAGGGAGGGAGGGAGGGAGGAAGGAAGGAAGGAAGGAAGGAAGGAAGGAAGGAAGGGGTATATGAAGGAGAGGTATGTATGTGTGTGTGTGTGAGAGAGAGAGAGATCATTTTACTACACTTTTTTCCACAAGCTTGGACTATACCTGATTATTTAATTCTTATGCCTCTTCTCCATTGTCCATTTCAACTTCATCCACATCTGCTGGGTCCGTAGTCCGGGACAAGATGTCTGCCATCAATGCCTCCTCCAGTTTTTTCCGTACCTGTTGCACTCGTTCCTCTTGCTTCCTGTTGAATACAGTAATGCAAGAATCCATAAAGGAAGGGCTTTTGGTTCAAGCTGGACATGGAATGCAAAAATGGTCAGCCAGCCAGCCTCAATATGCTGCTGTGGAAGTACTACGTGCTAAAACACACATCTTTCTTACTTGTCAAATCACACTTAAAGCAATGCTTTACATCGCTCTCTGCAGAAACGTTTAGGTAACAGAGAACACTCAACATCAAACAAAATGCCTCTGGTTGAAGCCACAGTGTGAAAACTACTCCCATGTTTATTTGAAACTAAAATCTACTCTTCCTGTCAAAGCAGTTAGAAAGAGGGGGGGGGGAAGAGCAAGAAACGTGAGTGCAATAGATGCTCTAGCCCAGGGGTCTTCAAACGTGGCCCTTTTATGACTTGGGGACTTCAACTCCCAGAATTCCTCAGCCAGGCACGCTGGCTGAGGAATTCTGGGAGTTGAAGTCCACAACTCATACAAGGGCCAAGTTTGAAGACCCCTACTCTAGCCTCATCTTTTCAAGGACCATTTTTTTCTCTCCTCTTCCCCAGGAAAAAAGACATCATCCTGTAATTGTTTTTCTAGAAGTTAAAAAGCCCATTTGCAATCAGCTCGCATTTTTAAGTTCTGAGAATTCCCAATGCACCCATTCGAGCCTCCACCTTCTACATAGCCTCTGCAACCTTGGGAAGATTTAGCACAGCTGAAGAAAACCACTTTGGAGCTGTGCTACAGGTTTTTTAATAGTAATTTTTATTAAAGTTTACAATTGCAAAGATAAAAAACTAATAGAAGCTAAGAAAAATATAAAAGAGTAGAATGAGAGAAAGTTAAAAAACACAAAAAGAAAAAAACATATATACTAAAGAAAAATGATTATAAACAACGTCCACCCTCATCATAACAAATACAAACAATTGCAATAGCTTGTTATCTTTTCTAATACTACAACAAAAATACACTTCATCCAATGTCTCATCTCATATTTAAACAGATTCTTAAAATCCCATCATTTAATTCTAATCAAGAAGAATCTATTAACTGTGATAAGAAACAATAATCTATATATTTCAACCTTAATCAAATAAACTAGCTTTATATTCCTTTCCTTTATTTTTAACACAGTAACCTCTGTTTCTCCAAAAATACAACAAAGGAACTCTTCTTCCCCTATCTTATCTATTAACAACTCTTGACAACCCTCTCATTTGTTCATAGTCAGCAAAAATCCATTAAGAGTCACCAGAAACAACAAAATACAGTATGCATTTTTAACTTTGATCAAATAACCTCTTTATATTTACTTTATATTCATGCACTTTACTTTTAAGAATCTTAATATTTATTCCCTTTTAGTAAAGTCCTAGGACTTGATTTGTAAGTGCTCCATCACTGGAGGTTTTCAAGAAAAGATTGGACAACCATTTCTCTGGGATGATATAAGGTCTCTCCTGCCTTGGGTAGGGAGTTTGACTAGAAGGAGGGAAGGGGGGAAAAGGGAAGGGAAAGGACGGGAATTCACTTTTGGAATATATGAGAGTCTCACTTAATGATGGCAACCATGACTGCAAGAACTCTGATCACTAAGCACATGGTCACATGGTTTTTCAACTTCCAACCATGTTACTTAATGACAGGGTTTCCAATCCCAATTAGAATCATTAATAATAATAATAATAATAATAATAATAATAATAATAATAATAATAATAAAGTTGGAAGGGACCTTGGAGGTCATCTAGTCCAACCCCCTGCTCAGGCAGGAAACCCTATACCATTTCGGACAAATGGCTGTCCAGTTTCTTCTTAAAAACTTCCAGTGTTGACGCATTCACCGCTTCTGGAGGCAGGTTGTTCCACTGGTTAATTGTTCTAACTGTCAGGAAGTTTCTCCTTAGTTCTAGGTTGCTTCTCTCTTTGGTTGGCTTCCACCCCTTGCTTCTTGTCCTGCCTTCAGGCGCTTTGGAAAATAGCTTGACTCCCTCTTCTTTGTGGCAGCCCCTGAGATATTGGAACACTGCTATCCTGTCCCCCCTCGTCCTTCTCTTCATTAAACTAGACATACCCAATTCCAGCAACCGTTCCTTATATGTTTTAGCCTCCAATCCCCTAATTATCTTTGTTGCTCTTCTCTGTACTCTTTCTAGAGTCTCAGCATCTTTTTTACATCGTGGTGACCAAAACTGGATGCAGTATTCCAAGTGTGGCCTTACCAAGGCCTTGTAAAGTGGTATTAATACTTCACGTGATCTTGATTCTATCCCTCTGTTAATGCAGCCCAGCACTGGTTAAGGTTGCCCTTAACCAAGGGCAACCTGTACTACTTAAAAGGAGCAAAAAAAATCTCTTGGTTTTATTTATAAATTAAAGTTTTGGAGATTAAACTTTAGAGTGGAAATCTACAAAAAGAAAGGCATGGAAAGAATTGGATTTAGATGAATCCACACATCTAAATGTTAGTTAATTTAATTCTTTGATGGATGCAAACCATTTCTTTTGTACATTTTTTTCATTGGACCAGCTACAGACATCGTGACTAATATAACCAAAGCCTTCCCCTTTACACCACTCCTTTAGCCACATATTGAATTCTGCTATGCGCTGGCCTTTTCCACTTTGCTCCTTATACACTGGTAAAACCTCTGAAAAAGTAAGCCTATTACTAAGATTTATTTTTCTTGGCTTATTACAAAAACAACAACTTGGATTATTTGTATGCCAAGACTGTAAGTGTAGTTGGTAAAACAAATAAACAAAAAAATGATTAATAAATAGAAGTGCTATACATTGCTGTTTACAGAACTTTTATTTTTATCTTTCCATATGGCATATTACACAGAGGCATATTTTAGTAGTGTTTGGGGGGGGCAGAAAATGTTAAAGCTGATGAATGAGATTTATTTTTAAGCAACATTCAGGCAATGCAAAAATATTTCTATAAAGGATAAAGCTGAGGATCTGGATAAAAAGCTATTCGATGCATGATATAATTGTCAGGACTGCCATGCTGCAGCATCTAGGCTTTGCTACATGTCGGTCTGCCATAAAAAATAAGGGGGGGGGAGCTGTGGGGTGGGATAAAAGAGGGCTAGCTTCAGGGTAATCAAACCCATTCCTCCTGCCGTCCCATGAGAGCCGGCAGCAGTTGCAAAATCATATCATGCAATGCAACACCATCTTGCCCGCCAAGCCAAAGACTGTGACCAAAACAATTTGCTTGAAAGTAATTGGACAGCAAAAGATAACTAAAGGGGGAGAGAGAAGAAACAGAAAAGTGAACCAGAAGTTTTGGGCGCGAATCTTTAGATTTGGCTTTGCTACGCTGTATCTCATTTGCTCAGTAAGGGATGTTCTTTGTAGCCATGGTCTCAAGAGTCTTACTTTGCTAGCTAGCCAAGTTGGGATGGCTGACAAGGGGCCAAACTTTGGAGTAAGGGTGTGTTAGAAGTCAGAAGAGGACGCTAAAGAGAGAAAATGAATGACCACTCCTGACCACCCTCTGAAATGTATAGCCCAAGATTAAAGTTAGTAAATGCAGACAATGCACAGCATAGACAATGCACAGCTCTGGATCCAGGCTCCTTTAAGTGATGTTGCTCATTCTCTGCTACCTCTGATCTTAGAGGACCAAACGGTAAGCAAACACATAGGATTCCCACCGAGTATGGTCCATTAGAGTCTTTCTGCAGCTGAACATCCAGCAGCATCTTCAGACCAGGAGAACATTGTCTTTTTCCACAGATGCATGGTTAAGCTAGCTTGATTTCACTTCTCAACCCATCTCCCAATTTTTCTTCCCCATTCATTTCTTCCCTCCACTCTTTTCCTTGTGCTAAATTTCTCTGGAAAACATCACCAGTCTTTAAGCAACTAGAATGTCCAAGTTCTTTTCAAGGTTCTACCTTCTAGTGCACAGGTGACAAACTCGATCGCATCACGTGCTGTATCATGACATATCACGACGTTTTTTGCCTTTGTGGAGCTGGGGTGGGTGTGGCCTGTGCGTGACGCATCCGGCCCACTAGCTGCCAGTTTGACACCCCTGTTCTAGTGTAATTGTTAGCTCTTTTTGTGGAAAGGCAGGGATCAGATAAATGGTTATAAGTATCACTAGGCAAACATAGGATAGACCCCGTGTGAGGGGAAAGAGGAAATATCAAATTATTCACAGACACCCCTTTGACCTCCTATGAACAGAGCTTTGAAATATCAGTCTGTTCAACTATTAGATCAAAGTATACCTCCAACTAACCAGATAAGCCATTTTGGCAGTACAGATTTGTCCTTTGAGGTCCAAAGTCTGCAATGTCAGCTTTATTGAAGATGTTGAGGCAATCCTTTCCCTTACTGAGGTTATCTCCATTACTTCTCGGCTGGCTTTCTTTTCTAAGGGAATAACTCAACCTCCAAGGTCCCTTCCCTGTTATTCTTTCTTTCTCCTTTTTCTTCCTCTTCTCCTTTTCTGATTCTTCTCCCTCCCATCTTTCTCATTCGCCTCTTTTTCCTTCTCCCAGAAGTTCTTCTGCTGTTGTTTCTTTCTAGATCAGAGGTACGCAACCTTGGCTCTTTTATGACTTGTGGACTTCAACTCCCAGAATTCCTGAGCCAGCATGGCTGGCTCAGGAATTCTGGGAGTTGAAGTCCATAAGTCATAAAAGAGCCAAGGTTGCCTACCAGTTCTAGATGGAACCCATTTTTTTCCCATGTCCAAGAGACATTTCAAATGTTTTTTTTTCTGAAGAGTCCAACAGTTCTGGCTTCAGATTTTGAGAGCTGTGGCAAAATGTATTTTATAGAAGCACAATGCCCCCATTTAGGCCATTAAATCCCTTGCTTTGTGCAAGAATCTAAATTAAAACATCTCTAACAAATGCCAGACAATGCCAGAAAAGGAGAGCCCATCATTTTTCTAGGTTTTAATGTCAGCCCACTTTTACTATTAAAATATTTTTTCTCACAAAAAACCAGAATTTGCCTCTCTGTAACTCAAAACCCTTGTTTTGTATT